AACTAAACCCTGATACATTCACACGGTGGAGTACGCTACAGCAGTGAGAGTGAACAATCTTTGGTTACATGGTACATGGATTATTCTTACGGGCAATTGAATATATTGAGCTAATGAAGCCAGGCACAGAAGAATATATACTGCATGATTCCAGTTTTAGAAGGCAAAACTAATCTATGGCACCAGCTTATGTTCATCATATTCATAGTATTGGCTTATGTAGATCCTTGGGGAGATGGTTAGTGACAAAAAGAAGGCATGGGGGTGGTGCTTGCAGGGTGCCAGCCATGTTTCTCCACCTGAATGCCGGTTCCCTGTTTGTGACGTGGGGATGATATGAATACTTATCTCATAGGATTCTTGGGATTAAATGTGGCAATCTATGGCATGCAGTAATTGTTCAATAAATGTTAGCTATTGTTATTATAAATAAGCTTTCTAAGGAAGGAGAGGTCACCGTCTGGGAAGGCTCTTGGGAGGAAGTGAGCCCTGCACTATTTCACAGGTCCAGGATCCTGAGTGCTAGTTGGGCCCTTGTTTCTGGCGTGTATTGCTCTTGGCATTGTGTGGTCCTGCATCTGACTCCTCCCCACAGAGCTCCCTGTGGGCACACAAGGCCTCTGCCCCTTCTTCCTCCTCTTGCGGTCTTGGCACCTGCCAACTGCTGGTGGTTTTGCATATCATGCCCGTGTTTCTGCCGTTCCTCATGCTGCTCTTCCTGCTGGCAAAGACTTCTTTCACTATCCCCTGTGCCATCCACATAGTGGGTGCTTTAAAATGTGTTGCTTATAAAAGCCGGGATCTGCACCAAATGGCTGTGGCTTCAGTGCTGTAGGCTGACTTGAACTGAGCTAAGTTTCTATTCAGGGTTTTAAGTTTCCGGGTAGGCCTGGCATGTCAAGGGCCATAGTTTTCCTTACTGTTCTGGAGCCACCAGGCTTCTGGGTAAAACGGTCTGGCCAAGAGACACAGGTTTTCATTTTTCAAAAAGGAAACCCTTCCCAACTGGTGGAAAATAAGCTTTTGCTTAGTGACTAATAACATAAACACAGACAAGATTTCTGAGCTTATAAATAACCAGTTGTAAAAGTGCCCAAGGGAAGCGGCCCTTTTTGCCAGAAGAATGGCCAAGAGTGTTCCTGTCACCTCGCTGATAGTGACCTTACTGTGGGCAAGGAGCCTCGGGCCAAGGGTGTGGAAGCCGCTCATTCTTCAGGGCCAATTCCCAAGGCCTTGCTCTTATACATTATAAATCCTGGGCTATTCTGGAAAAATAATAGTTGATCCCTAAGGTGCTTCCTGCTCGAAAATCCTGTGATTCTGTGGCAGCCACATGTTTTAAAGAGCAATGTTGGTGGGGAGAGGAAAGTTTTAGGGTTTTGTTTTGCCAGAGCTGCCTAAGAGGCAGATGAAATAATTACGAGCCTAGCTTCCATTTAGGGACCACTGGCTAAGGCACTGTGCTGGAGGCGCTAGTCCTGTGAGCTCACGGAATCCCCTGCAACCCTGGGGGGAGATTGTTGGCCTCCTTTGACTGATGAGAGACTCAGGTTCAGGGGATTTGTGTATATGTACAATGGCATAGTGGCTAAGAGCATGGAGTGTGCGGTCAGACTGCAGGCCCAGGCCTGGCTCTGCCTTGTACTCGCTCTGTGGCCACGGCAGTCATTAACTGCTGTACCCAGGCTTGCTCATCTGTGGAAGAGGATACACATAGGATCAAAGCTATATGGCATGATTCATGCAAAATGCTTACTAGCACAGTGCCTGTACATACTAGGCCTTCAGAAAGTGCTGCTATTACCAGGAAGGACTCAAGGAGCTTCATGTATGACATCACGTGGCCTTGTTGGTCAATCACAGATGCTCTAAGTCTACAAATGTTATTTGCATTTAGCTAATCTAGGGTTACAACCAGGACCTTGACCACGATCTGGGCTGTTCCCTGTGTGACGGGTGGGAGTGGTGTCCCAGGCCTGGCCGCTTGGACAGTGCTCTTACCTGGCTGCCCATCAACTTACCTGCAACAGTGAGGAGCCGCTTTTCTCACTTGGCTATCATCTCATGTACGCAGTGCTTCCCCAGGTGGCCCCTGGTGAGTTCCTCCAGAGTTAGTAGGAATGTTAAAATGGCCAGATCAACCTGCCTAACTCTGCATTAGAGAAAGCAGACTTTGCACGGGCCGTTGAGTATTAGCATTTTCCAAAAATTTTGCCTGTCTTTGACCATGGAACCCTTTTTTTCCCTCCAGATGATCTTGCAGGACCAGTGCTCCAGGGACCATGCCCTTGGGACTGTTCCCCAGCCCCCTCCAAGAGCAGTCAGCAGACGGGCAAGAGTCAGTAGGATGAGGTTTCAGAGCAGGGGGTGGCCAGGGACGTGAGACAGGTGTGAACTGTGTTTGTCTCCTTGATACCAGGTCAGTCAGTTGGAAATAGTCACTGAAACAATCCTTTTTCTGCATTAGGCAAGTGGCCCACACCTTCTGATTATCACTGGAATTCAGACCAGTGCCTTTGGCTTCCTTTAAGGATGCATCAGACTTTTTGGGGTGTGAGGTTCCTTGTTTATTTTCCTGTCAAAGTACTTTTCCTCTTCTTTCCTTCTCCCCTTTTTAAAAGTAGAAAACCTGCTGCCCTCTCTAGGGCATAACATTCTATCAATTTTGGAACCTGAGCCAAGTATCCCAAGGCAGCTTTTCCAGTTTCCAAAGTTTATTGTTAATGAAAAGTGAGTAACAGGCTGAAATCCCTGGCAGGATCCAGAGCTGCAGGGTACACCGAGGCCAGCAGACGCGGGAGCAGCCAATTTTATCTGGCTGTTCTTTCTCCTCCTCCCCGCCCTCCTCCTTCCCCCTTCTTTTTATCAGAGAGGTTTGGCTGGACTTGAAGGAGCCAGAAAGGAACTGGAGGGGCCTGAGTTTCTAGCAGCCAGTGGCAAAGTGTGGGAGGACAGGGGACCCAGGCCTGGGGGCATGTTCCAGTTCAAGTCAGTTCTCATTGAGTTAGTTGTCTGTGTGTCTGGCTCAGTGCTAGGCCCTGGGGTCCAATAATATCGGTACCAACAGGAATAGCTAATATTATTAGCTGCATGCCATAAATGTAGGTCTCATTCTAAGAATTTAACACACTTGACATCAATAAACCCTCCCAACTAAAAAGTAGTTACTAATATTTACATTTCCCAGTTGACCAAACTGAGGCACAGAGAGGGCAAGCAACTCCCCCAGGGTCACACAGCAAGAGTCAGATCCAGGAATCCTACTTAGGAGTATTGGATTCTAAAACTACAGTTTTTACCTTTCAAAGTCCAGACTCATGCTCCAGGTAGCAGAAATGGACATGTAAACCAACAAATAAATACGTGCAGTTTGAAAGTGCTATGATGCAAGTATCGCTTAGTACAGTGCTGGCAGAACGGAGCAAAGTGGAAGCCGTATTTGAGTTCAGTCTTGACTGGTGGGTTGGAGTTTGCCTGGCAGGTAAGACAGGTGGGAGTAAAAGCAGATAGAAGAGCACGGAGGTGGGAAACAGCAGTGTGTGTGTGTGTGTGTGTGTGTGTGTTGGGGTGTGATTGTGAGAAATGACAAACAGGCATGCAGTGCTGGGCATAGGAGGCCCAGGAAGGAATGGCAGAAGCTGATGAAATGGAGAGGCAGGCAGGGGTCCTTCAGGGAGGCTCTTGGGTACCCTACAAAGGTTTTTATATGATACCCCTTGGGAGTGATGGATTTTGAAACAGTTATTATTTGTCTTTACCCAAAGGCCATCTTTTTGTGAGAGCCCAAAGTATGAAACAGATAGCAGTGGAGTGGCTCTGGGTGAGGTAGTCCTGGGGACGGGAGCTTGTCCCTCAGGGCCTCCCGTAATCTACTCCCTTGGGCATCTGCCTGGAACTGCCAAGGACTGAGTCGCTCAGACTTTGAACAGGCTGGGGAGAGAGAAGCATGTACAAGCATCTTGGAAAGTGATTTCCATGGTGGTGTGGAGGTGGGTTGGGAGGGGCTGAGGCAGGGCACTGGGCTTGAGGTGACTGCAGAAGTCCTGGCAGAATACTGACTGTGGCATCACCATTGCCCATCCACACTGGAAGCAGAGATGAATCCAGTCTTGTCTACAAGTTCAGCCAAACTGCCTGCTTGCAGGCTGTGCAAGTTTAATTTCTCTAGGCCTCAGTTTCCTCATTTTTCAATTGGCAAAATTACAAATATTTTCCTGCTTGTTTGTTGTAAAATCTAAATGAATCAGTACATGTCAGGTAGTCAGAACCTTACAGGAGTCTGGTTCATAGTAAGGGCTATGTAACTATTTACTGTCATTGTCGAGAATACATTTATGATGTTTTGAGTTCACTCATTTAATGAATATTAATTGAGCCGCTATGCCAAATAGCATTCTGAGTGCTGGGGAAAAATCAGGGACTGAAATAGACCAATCCTCATTTCTCTTCTACTGGGAGAGACAAAATAAACACACAGAATAGATGTGTAACAGGGATTAGAAAGGTGGGCCACATTTGGAACTTTGGGTTTTATTTTGAGTGAGATGGAAAGTCTGGAAGGTTTTGAGTAAAGTGGTGACACATTCAGGCAGCCACTTTGGGGTCTGGAGTAGCTTGCAGGGTCTGGGTAGCTGGTCCAAAGCAAATGGCTAATTGCTGGTGGTTGTGTTTGTTCTTAACCATCATCCCATTTATAGGGAGCCGTTCCATGGGAGGGGCTCATGAAAAATGATAAAGGAAGTGGGGTTCTCAAAAAAGAGAAGCACGGTCCCCTTAAGTTGTAAAGGAGTGTCCCGTAATAATACTAATGATGTCATTGTCCTCCTGGCTGGAAAGCTTGCCCGACTCCTCATGATTTTGAATCACTCGCTTGTGTCCTGCCCGGTAGCTGTTTGCTCCCTGCTCAGTGACATCTCCATCATCCCTTGTCCCACCCTTTGTAGTCCTAAGTATGCCTGTCAGATAAACAGGGTATTTGTGTATTGCTGTTCCCCCCGCAGTGTTTGAGAACAAAGATAAGATTGTGATCATCATGGAGTATGCGAGCAAAGGGGAGCTGTACGATTACATCAGCGAGCGACGTCGCCTCAGCGAGAGGGAGACCAGACACTTCTTCCGGCAGATTGTCTCTGCCGTGCACTACTGTCACAAGGTATGGCCGGGCTGGGCCAGAGTTCGAACCCCACTTGACCCTTGAAAGGTTCTGAGGGTGATATCTGTTTGTTGCAGTGTATGTGGAGAATATACTAAAATAGAAGGAAGAAAATCACCATCACCAATAATTCCAGACTCTAGGGATAACCCATTATTGGCATTTTTGTTTGTTTCTACCCTTCTTCCTCCTACTCCTCACATTTTGCATTAAAACTTTTTAGTTTTAATAATTCTAGACTTACAGTGAGGTTTCCAAGATAGCACAGAGAGTTCCCATACACCCTCACACCCTCGCTCAGCTGACCCTGTGGCAACATCTTCCATTACTTTAGTACCTTTGTCAAGTGGAGACACCAATGCTCATAAATTGCTATTAACAAACTCCAGGCTTTATTTGGATTTTACCAGTTTCCCCACCAGTGACTTTTCTCTGTTACAGGATCAAATTCTGAGTATGATATTGCATGTATTTTTATATTGGTGTCTTGCTTTATCACCTGGTGTTTTAATCTCCACATTTGCTTGTATTACTTAGAATTCTTTGTAATTGTTGTGATTGTTGGGCATTTATGGTGGTTCTAGTCTGGTTATTATAAATAGTGACTGACATCTTTAGACATTAACCTTTCTTCTCGTTTGAATAATTAAGAGCTCTTACAGAAGGGACTGCTAGGCCATGGGTTTGAACTTTCCTGTGCTCCTGGTACCTTCCCTTGTATAGGTTACATCCACATGGATTACCTGTATACACATTCATTTTGGTACAACCCACCTAATGGGATGTGCTCGCAGTACAGTCAGTTTAGCTACCCTGGGTCTCTGGAGAAGGAAATGAAGTAACGCATATTTCCAAGCTGTATTTCATTGTTGTTATTAATCATTTTAGTCCTGATTTTCATCCCCTTCATACTTTTCCCTGGAACTGTTGTACCTGGAAACAGTCATTCACTTGGAGGACAATAGTGACTTGAATCCAACATGACATCCAAAATAGAGTCAGCTTCATTCAAATGACCACAACATGGGCCTTCTGTTTTGTTAAATATTCTGGCTAATCAAGAATAGCTCTGTACTGAAGATGATTATTTAAATCTGAAATCTTAACCCGTGCAAACGTTACTTGACCTCTCTTTGCTGACTCAAAGGACACTGATGATCAGATCATACAGCATTCTGTATGTCATCCTCAGGCATCATCAGCAGTACAGATTGTATGTTCATTATTTAAAGTGTGTGCATACTTGGGCTTTGTATGAATGGGGCTTTATTAGACTTACTCCATCTTACTATGAAAATTAGGAATGCAGCAATGCAAACCAAACTGCTCCTGATATTTAAAGGTAAACAAAACCAGGTGCCTTGCATTTGGTATCTTTCTTCCAGGGCCTTGGCTTGTGCATTTCTGAATTCAAGGTATCCTTGAAGATTTATTTAGGTTAGAACAAGAGTAGTAGGAATACATGTTTTCATCTCTACAGTCAGTGCTCTTGGAGATACTAGAAACTGTCAAATGGAAATGAAAATAGACAATAAAGCACTAACTGCAAACATGCGGATTCTAAACTGAAGAAATATTGAATGAAAAGAGCATTTCTAACCAGTTGGTATGTTTAAAAAAGCAGCTTCAGTTGCAAATGCCCTTTACTCTGCATGATGTTGAAAACTTCCCCGCTATTTATCTGCCCAGCCCGGTTCTCTCCACTTTTTTACTGTGCCCACCTGCCCCTTTTAAAAGACCATTGAGTTTTAAAAGGAATTGAGCACCCCTGTTGTTAACTGCTGTGCAGACCAAAAGCCTATTGGGTAAAGACTCCTTTTCACTTTTCAGGGGCTGTCCGCTTGTCAGTGCAGTTCAGCCTCCAGCCTTGCCAGTGTTTGCATGAATGGAGAGGTCACACAGTGTGGCGGTGACCTACCTGCTTTGGACAGAGCAGTGGCTGTGGGCTCATTGGCCTCCTCCACCTTCACCCTTCACCCTGCATTGAGTCCTGCTGAGCAGAGAGGGACTTCCAGAACCTTCCCTCCCAGCTGTTTGGAAATACCCCTGGGAGTGCTTCTGTTATCCTCAGGACAGATCTGGACTGGTTTCATAGGTCAGAATAGATTGAGCCAGACTCCTTTCCTGCACTGTGGAGGCAGGCAGGCAGAAGGGCAGAAAGGCAAGATCTGTGAGCCCCACATTCTGAGTCCCCAGCAGAGAAATCTGTTTCTTCCCTGGGAATCACAGCACAGACAGACATTGTTTGCCACTGCCTGGGACTATATTGCTTTCACACAGTGGAATTACATTCCAACAAAGAATCCCCCTGCTGTTTTACAGGCTCTGGGGGAGAATGGATTCCAGTCATTTTTCCCTTAACCACACAGCAAGTGACTAATGCTGGTCGCTGGCGGGAGGCTTCATGACAGTGAGAGAGGTCCTGAAGGATGGCGGCAAAGACCACCGGGCTGGTGCATTTCTTTAATCTGTCAAGTGCTTCCCTTTGTTCGCCCTCCTCCTAACTCTCTCTCTGTCTCTCATTCCAGCCACTCCCATTCAGTTCCCTGCCTGTCTTCTCATTTCAGAATGGCGTGGTCCACCGGGACCTGAAGCTGGAAAATATACTGCTCGATGACAACTGTAATATTAAGGTAAAGCTCTTGTCTCACTGATTGATGTGCAGGGCCTGGGGATTGCAACTCGTGGGGGCTTCAGCTTCCAAGCTGCAGCCTCGAAATAAGGCGGCAACTTCCTCTCCTGGCAGGCCGATGGGGAGAGTTGCTGGGCTTAAGCCCTCATTTCAGTTCAGACAATTAAATTCAACAAGCATTTATCGGTCTCTGAGGACATGCCAGACATTGTTCTTCCTGCTGGGATAAAAAGGTGACTAAAATATAGTTCCTGTCCTTGGAAGCTCATAACTACAATCAGCACCATAGAAGTACTTGCAGAAATAACACAGTGTGTATTTCATACCATGTTTGCCCGATATTGCTTAAATTAGGTCTTTGCAACCCTATGGGATAGATACTGTTATTTACATCATTTCGGATAGGGGAACTGAGGCACAGAGAAGTTAAGTAACTTACCCGAGGTAGCAAACAGTGGTAGGTAGTAGAGCTGGGCTTTGAACCCGTGTCTGGCTGACTCACGAGCCCAAGTTTGAACCTCTTCGCTCAATTTGTCAGCAGGGCCCAACACTATTTTCGAGTTGGAACTCTTTCCCAGCCACTCTTCTGCCACTCCCACCCCTTGTCTCCTACATCTCCCTCCCACCCGCGAAACCCGCCGGGGAACTGGGAAGCTGGCCGAAACGACGGCGGCATTCGCGCTGGGAAAGAGTGCACAAGCAAGGGACGGCATTGGCTTCTATGGGCAGTGTTATTGCTGGCTGCAGCTGGGGCTGGAGAAGGCTCCCCGGGCCAACAGGGTTCAAGCGCCTCCTCAGAGCACTGTGAATGTCCTTTTGATCACATCTGCAAAATAAGCAAATATGGTTTCAAAACAAACGGAGCTCGCCGCATGGGTTTCATTATGAAGTGGCCTTCGTACTCCCGACACCAGGGGATCCCTCCTCCTGGCCTCTGGTGACGTCAGCGCCTCATCCTCACTCCCTGAACAAAGCCTGGGAATGACCTGGCCGCGTCCTCTTTTTTTCTGTTGTCGCTGTGCTCATTGGAGGGGTGCAGCCTGGGACGCTGTTTCCCCCCTTTCAGAAGGATGGAGTCGCTCTGGTGTTTGCATTCTCTTTGCACATCGTAGTGGCAACCATTGGTCACCACTGTCCTTTGAGAGGCCCCTATAAGCCATGTCTGGGTGACCTCTTTCTTTTCCCAGTGGTTTGCCTGTGGTCACATATTTCTGGGTAGTCTACAGCATAAGGAGGAAACAGTTGGTCAGAGCAGCTCTTCCTAGGAATAGGAAGTGAGGTTCCCAGGGTCTCTCCATTTCTGGCAAAATGGCTGGTTTATTCTAGAAGGTGGACAGGCTGTAGCGTTAGAAAATAACATCCTGTGTGCCTTACTGGCTGTGTGACCTTGGGAAAGCCACTTAATCCTGTTTCCAGCTATACAGTGAGGTAATCGTCATGCCCCAGGCTTGAAGACTAAATGAGGTAGTTTGCATCTAGCTTTATAAACTGCTGCACACTGTGCAGTGAGTCAAGGTGAAGAGTGGTGGCTTTGGACTTGGATAGGCTGGATTTGAATTGCAGTGCTGATCCCTACTAATACAGTACGTACTGAGTCTCAGATTCCTCATCTGTCCAGTAGAGATGCCAGCTCCTGTCTCTGGGGGTGGTAGTTTACTTGTTCATTTTTGCAGTGAGGATTTTTTGAACAGTACTGTGTGCGATGCTCTGCACCCAGTCCTGGAGCGTCAATGACAAATATGTGGATTTTAGACCGTAATATAGTCAAAGCACCTAGCATTTAACTCTTCATGTTCAAGGCACCTGTTTAAATGGCTGGCCACCAGGGAGGAAGCTGAACAGGAGGCCAGCTGCTCAGAAGGTACCTGGATCCCGGGAAGTGGTGGCCTGGCCATGGCTATGGAACTGGGTTCTGGTCTGAGGGACACATTTTAAGGGTTTGTGTCATCCACCCTGGTTAACTTTCTCTGCAGATTCTTCTGCCACCTGCCCCCAGAGCTCTCAAAATAAAATGCAGTCTTTACAAGGCCTGGAATGTGAGTCTCTGGCTTGGGGATTGGGTTCTGTGGTGCAGCGTGACCTCTTGGTCCCATGATTAGTCCCAGCAGTGATAAGGCACATAGCTTCCTACCGAGTCATAGAATTCCCCAATGAAGGAGAAGAATGGCTAGAATTCTGAAGGCTGGGAACAATGGGGCCAGAGCCCAGGAGAATGGCTCATTTGCATAAGCAATAGGGCAGTGATGTGGGCCTCACCGCTCCCAGGACCGAGTCCTTCCATCCAGGACCCCTGCACATTATGTTGGGAAATAGCAAACTCATAGAACATGATAAAATTAAAGTTTTGATCATATCTTTTCTCTCTAAGAATTTCTACTTCTGGCATTTCCCAAGGTAGAATAGACACCTGCCTCCGAACAGAAAGCAAACCTTCGCAGTCTCTGACACAATTCTTCCTTCTGCTGGCTCTGGGATGCTGCTAGGATCTGCGAATCCTGGACCGTGAAAGAATCTTGAGGGTTGTTTTCCAATCTTGTTTCAGTAATTATGCCCGTAAAGTCTTAAGTGATGTGCCCAAGATAAAGCCCAGTGAATCAGTATCCATTACATTGTTGTCTTTATTTCCCTGGAGTTTGACAGTGCTTGTCACACAGTAGGTACTTTACACTGTTTGATTTTGGAAAGAAGGGGTGACAGCCAGGATTAGGACTCACATGTTTGACTTCAGGCAAATTCTCTTTTCATCATCTCACACCCATTTCGAAGGTTTTTAAAAATGTGTCTCATCTGGTGTTGATCTGTCTTCTGGCTGGATCTGCTCAGCTCTTCCTGACTCAGCATTTCACTGAAAACATATTTAGAAGGGTACTTGTTGCAAAGGCAGGCAGACACATGGCCGCAAGCTGGCCTCCATGTTCAAAAGAGCCCATATCATCAGTGTCTGGACAGGGGGAACATTAAAATGGATGCCCTGTTACCCCCCAGTGGAATATGAACAGTGTGGTCCTTCTTGGGGGCCCTCTCTGGTGCCTCTCTAAGTGTGGGTCCATCTTATGTATTTCAAGGGTGGAGGTCTTCTGCCCAGGGAATCTATAGAAATGCTACTGGTTTAAACTTGTAACCATGAAACCCTGTCACATGTTGCTGCAGTCGTGGCATGAGCCATGTAGCTTGTTCCTTCCCCTTCTCTGCCTGATGTTCATTTGCCATGAGCATGTCTGGCATCAGAAACTATCTGGCCACTAAGAGATGGCGTGGCTTCCAAAAATATTCACATAGTCGGTCATCAGAAAGAATGACAGCAATGTGCTGCTTTGGGTTGCATTCCATACTGTATGGAGAGGCCCCCTGAAGCCTTCTCCACAGTGGAGTAAGCCTACATCTACTAAAATAGACACCCAGCATAGCATTAATTTGCAATTAATAAGAATGGGCCAGATTCACATCCTGCTCTCTTAGAGAATGGAATGCTGACAATTCCCATAGAAGCCTCCTGTAAAAATGTCTGACAATGAGACATCCATGTCTTACAATGACCCCAGGGCCAGCTGACCTCCCTAAAGAGGGCTGAGAATCTGGTGAGCTCCCAGAGCTCAGAGTAGAGGGGCATAGGGGAAATGGCCTGTCACCCCTGGTGACAATGGAAATGCGGCTGTTTCAGATAAGAAAAGATGCTTTGAATGGCAGGGGCTACGATGAGACAGAAACCTCCTAGGCTTAACAAGACCAAGTAGGACAGCTCAGGATTGGGGCCTCTGGGCTTTGATTATATGAATGTGAGAGCTCTGAATTCGTGCGTTAATTAATCCATTCATTTGTTCATTCATCTGTGTGTGTGTATGTGTGTGTGTTTGTGTGTGTGTGTGTGTGTGTGTACCTATCCATGCATGCCTGCATTCACTTTTCCATTCTTGCTTATATTCATTCAGCCAATTTTGTATGTCCTGTGGGCAATATTTATTGGACCACAAATATCTACTGAGTTCCTACCATTACCTGGCCTGTGCTGGAAGCTGGGAGTTTAATAGTGAACCAGATGGCTGGATCCTTGTCTTCTTGGGGCTCAGAATCAGGCAGTTGCTAAAGCAGCAGTAATAATGAGCCATGAAGAGATACAGAGATGAATGAGGAAGATAAGGTACCTACCCTAATGGACTTTAGGATTCTAGTTGAGGACACAAGCAATAAGCAAATAAATACATAGTGCAATTGGTGGTGAAGAAAATCCATGCAAGGTGAGGAGAATGGCAGGTGCTATTTAACTAGGGTGGTTAGACAAGGCCGTTGCATAGGACTCGAACTCCTCAGATCCATAAAGCTTTCTCTGGTTTCCTAGCCTTTGCACACACGTTTCTTCTGCTTGGAATGCTCTTCCCACTGCTGTTTGCCTATGCCTCCTTTGAGTCTCAGCTTGAATGCTTCTTCTTCCAGGAAGCCTTCCTGATCCTTGTCCCTTAGCAGGGCCAAATGGCCCTGCTGTGTGCCTCATAGTGCCCTGTGTAATAACGTTGTGGAAGTGCTGAGCAGGAAGTGGTGGGTCTGTTAACTATGGATGGACCAGAAAGCCTTTGCTGAAGCAGTGGTGGTTAAACTGGGCTTTGAAGTGGGTAGAAGTTTGGTAGAAAGGAATGTGATGATGGCCTTGCAAGGGGAAGGAATAGCAAGCACGAGGACAGGGCATGGGGGCTGGAAAAGGAAAGTGACTTTTATTGAGCCCCTGCTAGAAGCCAGAGCCATGTGCCAGAACTTCTGCACACCTTACTTTGTGTTCTCAGAGTGTCTCTACTGGGCTGGGTCTGATCGTCCCCATTTTACAGAAGAGAAGGCTCCCACAGCTGAAAACCAATGTGGCTGGCTGCATATCGAAGGCTATTTGACTTTAAAGACCAGACACCTGATAAAGTCTACCCTCTGCTATTATCATCCAAATTTGCCCTAAATCCAAGAGAGTGTCACACAAGGGCACTTCTTTGGTCCTTGCTTCAGTCAGCCTTACCTTGTCTGTAGGCAGGCTGCAGACAGCCGTCCCTGGGAGAGACTCTCCAAGTGCTGATGGTGGCCGATGGCCAGGTAGCCTGAGGTTTGGTGGCCAGAGCAGCCATGCAGGGACAGTAGAGTTGAATGTGCTGTGAGCCTGGACGGACTGTTCACTAGCGTCCCCTGAGAGGCTGCTTCTTGGAGGCATGCCCTCAGTTAAGAGCTTCCCCAGATCACTTGGGGTCAGTCATTTCCAGGCTCCCTCAAGAGGCGATGTAAGCTTAGATCTTCCGAAGATGAAAGCTGACCCCATTCATTTCTGCTCATTGTTCCACTCCCTACCTTCACTTCCTGACAGCTCGGGAGCAAGGCTGTCATGGATAAAGCCACAGCAATTAACTCCATGGCCGGAAAGGAGCTATGGAGTGTGTCTTCCTCTATGGGGTTACCGTCTTCCTAAAGAGTTACGCAGAAAGCCCATTTCCTCCTCCGCCAGCTGGAAGCAATAACTCCCCTTTACGTGGAGCTTTATTGCCCAGGCAGCTCTTCACTGGCTTCACCTTACTGCCTGGGCCTCAGTTTCCTCATCAGCAAAATGGAGATAATAATGGTACCCCTCCTCATAGGGTGGTTGAGGGGACTTGATACATTCATATATGTGGTGCTGACAGAACAGCGACTCCATGTAGTCATGCTGCTGTTACTATTATCTCATTAAATCTGGTTTTGCTTTTCATAACACCATGTGGGTGGTGCCGTTGCAACTCCATTTTCCAACAAAGGAAACAGACTCAGGTAAAGTAACAATTGCTCACATTTTTTGAAGGCTTACTATGTGCAAGGCATGGCTTAAGCTCTTTCCATCTATTAGCTCATATGATTTGTGTGTGGCCGTTTATATTCTGGGAGGTATAGGTTACATTCTAGGGGCTTTACACGCATATCCTCCCATCCTCCCAATGGTTTATTACTACCATTTTGCAGGTGAGGAAATCGAGTGATGTGGCAGGCTCACCAGTCACAGAGTGGTGCCAAGTGCAAGGTTAGCTCCAGGTTACCTGGCTCCCAAACCTCTGATCTGTCCGGCTCGCTGCACTTCCTCTTAGATACTGCGAATGACTATCAGACCACAGCTTTTATTATCATTGTCATCAGCGTCTTTTCCCAGAGCTTAATCACCAGCAAGCTGATACTTCCTATTTCATCGGGTGAACGCAGAGTGATGATTCAGGGATCTGAGGCTAATTCTTTTTTAAGTGATGTTAAGTATATGTAACTAACATAAAGTTTGCCATTTTTAGGTGGGTGGTTCTGCGGCATTAAGTGCATTCCCATTGTAGAGCAACCATCATGCCACTGATCTCCAGAATTTTTGTGTCTTCCCACACTGGAACTCTATTCCCATTGAACACTAACTCCCCATTCCTCCTTCTCCCCAGCCTCTGGCACCTGCTATTCCACTTCCTGTCTCTATGAATTTGACCCCTCTGCATGCCGCATGTAAGTGGAATCATGCACTCTTTGCCCTTCAGTGTCTGGTTGTTTCCTTTAGCACAGTGTCATCAAGGTTCATCCATGTTGAGCTGAGGTCAATTCTTTTGAAGTGTGAACAATCGCTTCCTAGTTTATTTTTCTAACTCTGGTTTTCATCAGCAGGCATAAAAAGACTCCAAAAATTCAAGACAGGAGTACTGACTTACCAGGTTCCTTTTCAGAGTCCAGATAGAACTGAACAGCCCAGTGTGGGACATGGTTCTGACCCAGTACAGGGCAAGGGAACAATACATCCCCTGTAGAAATGCAGAGCGGTTACCCTTCTAAGGTCACCAGTGTGTTGGCAAAATGTGACTGTAAGAGCAATGCCAGCTGCCCTTTGGCAGAGTTACCCTGTGTGCAGCTGTTGTTCTGTTGCAGAGAAAGTGTCCAGGGTGCGAAGACCCTAATGATCGTGTCATTGTTCTCATCTCTGTGACCTTCAGGATTCGCTTATCTCTTAGGGCTCCTTCAGGTTGAAACCATTTGTAGGATTTGGTTGCTTTTGTTTTATGATGTTTAAAATCATTATTCCCCAAGTTCAGCTTTCCCAGATTTCCCAGATTTCTTTTCTTTCTCTCTGTTCATGGATTTTCAAATAAAAACTGTATTTATTTGAAAGAGGCCTTACATAATTACCTTAAATGGAAAACCAGTCTTTTTTTGAGTAGCAGGAGTTAATAAAGTTACCTACATGTATCTAAAGGGGGGAAGCAGATCTTTATTGAGTTCCAGCTCTGTGTTGATTACTTTTTTAAGCATTTTACATACTTTGTGTCACTTAATTTTCACCATGACGTTGTGCAGGTAGATTCTATTCCTACCTCCATCTAACATGAGAAATTGAGGATTTGAGAAGTTTCATAACCAGCAGCTATTTCCTTTCTTAAAGTTGATATAAGCTCCATATTGCATGAAATCTTACCGCCACAGTCTGGATTTAAGTGGCTCAAGGTGTGAGAGCTATGCATATGTGTATATGTTGATTAATATTGCTTTTCTGCTGAAGTGCCAAGAACATGGGCTAATCTACATGTCTATTAATCTTATGTCAGCGACAGTGACAGTTTTACTGGGAGAGGCTGATAAACATCAGTCTACGAGGATGGGAATGGGCTATAACATAAACACGCTCTCACAATGGCTACAGAGAAAGCAGGGATGCCCAGAATTGGAGATCTCTCAGCGAGAGTGTGTACACGTGGGGATTTGCATGTGTTGGCGGTGGGTACCTCTCACGCATGTGTGTATTTGGAAGCTCATATGGTGCTTCCGATGCTGCAGACACTGCGGGTGGGAAGGGCATGTATGTTTTCCTCTGGATGCGCTCTGTGCTATGTTGGTTTCTGTCTTAGCCACAGTCAGGGAGGATGAAGCGCTGGGACTTCTCAGGATGGTCCAGGGCTGCAGCCATTCTGTGCCAATTCTGATTGACAGGGCACACTTCATAAAGCTTCCAGCCAACTTCCTGCAAGGGACTCAGGGGCCATGATAAGAAAGTGGAATTCAGGGCAATTAAGTGCAATCTGAGCCCTGAGAATGTGTTTTCTGAGGGGCGGCCATACAGCCAGCTGCTTTCAATGACATTCCATTCATTCAGGGACAACTTTTACAAAATAGGCTTATTCTGTGGGCTGCATACAAAACAGAGCCTCTGTGGCATTCGGGTTGGGCTGCTCTCTGGGCATGAGAATCACTCTGCCTGTATTAAAGCCTCAAATGGAAATCAGCTCCGGGGGTGGCAGAAGCTTGCAGTGGCTCAACTTGTAGGACTGGAGTGAAATTTGCAGATTCCCCAGGGCCGTGTGCACAGCGGTTTGACACAGGGGTGTACATTGCTGCTTACTAGTTAACTCCCCTGGGATGAATAACCTCATCTCCCTAAACTTCAGTGTCCTTATCTATTAAATAGGTTTTTAAAAAATTGTGATAAAATATCCATAATGTAACATTTATCATTTTAACCAGTTTTAGATGCATGGTTGAGTGACATGAAATATATTCATATTGTTGTGTGAATGGGGTTTTAGATGGAATTTGATTAGAGACTGTAAAGTATTCAGAACACTGCCTAGTACTTGGAGGTCGTTCAGTAAGGGGCAGCTAATTTGTTTATTATTATTTTGCATCTCTTAATGATCTTGTGCTTTTCACAATATACTACCTGCTTTAGAGACAGGTATTTCTTGGGTGGGGGCAGGTACTAAGCAGTGGATTTGACAAAGATGAAAGATGTGGAACCTGCCACTTACTTGGGGGACTCAGAGTCTAACAGGCAAGGAAAACTTAAAAATATATACATACATACATATTATATGTATATATGTGATGTGTATATATATGATAATATATATGTATATATACAGGGAAGAGTGCTGCCATAAAGGATAATAAATAAAACATGTCAAGAAACCAGAGAAGAGAATGATTCCAAGGTGTATACAATACACAGAAAGCAAGGTTAGGTAAAAATTTGCATGGAGCTTGAAGACCTAAAGGTTATAAAGTATTTTTACATTCATGGTCTCATCTTGGTTGATACATCTACTTTCTTATTATTCTCACAATTATCCTGCAATCTGAAACAGGATAGCAATCCTGGATTCCCATTTTCTCGTGAATAGATTGAGGCTCAGAGTAGCTAAGTGGCCTGCTCCATGTTACCCAGATGGCTAGGGGCAAAGTTTGGGCTGAAATATGATGACTCAACACCCAGAGCTCTGGGTCCATTTCTGGTTTTCCAAAGTGTGATATGCACACAGCCATGGAGGCAGCGTGATGTTAGTAAGCCCCAGATGGACAAGTTTCTGACTGATAGTTATACTTTAATGTTTTATCAGCAACATCAAGCCTCTAATTTGGTGTATATTTCTCAGGGCAAGTCCAAATTGAAGGGAAAGTAGGAGTCCATGTAAGAAGTAACTTTAAGTAAGTAAGAGAGCTTGCAGGATACAGTTAGGGCAGAACTTGTGATGGATGCCAGGGAGGGCAGCTGGGAATCACTGTCTCAGTCACGTTAACTGGAGACTCAGGACTGGATTGAAAATGGCCATCCAGCCACCAGACCCACCGAGGTGCCCCTCCCACGCTCCAGTGCGTGTGGTGGGAGTTGCTCCATTGCAGATACTTCCTGGAACACTAACAGGCCTCCTGGTTCTTGCCTCTCTTCACAGATTGCTGACTTTGGGCTTTCCAACCTATACCAGAAGGACAAGTTCTTGCAAACATTTTGCGGGAGTCCACTCTACGCATCTCCTGAAATTGTCAATGGGAGGCCTTATCGAGGGCCAGAGGTGAGTATGTTGCCTAATGTATATGGGGAGTCGGAAGGGGGACGTGGATGAAGGAAAGGGGGGAGGGGCAGGACTGAATCTGGGAAATATTTTTAAAAAACACCTTTTTTTTTCCTTGTACAATTATAAAGACCCTAAGATACACAATATGTTTTACTGTATGTATGTACCATAATTTATTTAATACTACCCTAGATTTAGACAGATTGCTTTCAGTTTTCCCTATTAAAACAAAACAGACAAAAAAACCAAAGACCCCCAAACTCTGCAGTGAATATCTTTTTGCATCATTTTTAACAGCGGGTATTTTTGATTAAGGAAATACATTTTAATTGCATCTGCTAATTCATGAGACATGCCTGAAGCTTTCAGGGCCACTCTAAGAGAAGCGTACGTGAAAATGGTATTTTGAAAATGGGTGAGTTGCGAGTGATTTTTCTTTTTTAGAAAGATGATTCTCTTTACAGAGAGATTCATCCACTCATTATCCTTTAAATAGCAGCTGCTCAGTGGCTTGAAACATTTGCTTCCAAATATTTATCCGAGAGGGCTTGGGGGCTGGGCTGGGGAGGGAAGAGAAGGAGGCCGAGCGCCTCTACCAGTTGCAGTTAAGAGAGAGTCTCCCTAAAAAGAAGGATGTAAGGGAGGTGTATAGGATTCAGTCTGCAAAACTAGAAACTTGACACCATGGATGATGAATGCTTCTTTCAACTTCTGTCATCTGTTTTCGAGGTTATAAGCGCGCAGCCTCTGATCTGGCTAGCAAGCTTACTTTATTTGGCCAGTTCATTAGCCTTTTCTAAAACAATTGAACAACCATTTAATAATTAGGAGATTTCACATAAAAGTCTGGTTTCTGACTTCTCTTGAAAAACCGGAGGGCCTGACATTTCCTACATGGCAGCGTCTAGCCTCCTGAGGCTGCCCGCTTAAGGTGGGCAAATGCTTGCCACAGCTTGTCTCTGACACTCCAAGTTGTACTCCCAGCAGGTTTTGTTGCTGCCTGGCTCCTATTAGCATTTGAGTTTGCAGCCCCTGATCCATCAGAAGAGGGTGCACAAGGAATTGATTCCTGGATGGGAGTGACGGGCCCGGTGTCTGGGTCGCAGCTCCATCACTGGAGTAGGATTTCCGGAGAAACCATTTAGCCTCCTTTTTCCTCAGTATTCTCATCAGTCAAATGTGGTTGAAAATAATCCAGGCCCTGCCTTTTTTATAAAATTATAGGAGCAAAGGAGATAGTCTATTTACAAAAGTTCTCATGCTGTCTGGGGCTGTTGGCTTTGGGTTGGCATGGAGAGGTCAGGCTCTGCAGCAGGCCCCAGGCTGCACTGCCTATCAGCTGTCGGGCTGCGGTGGGAACCTGGCTGCCAGGTGCTAAGTTCCGTTCCTGGGGTCGCTGGGGGTGGCTGCTCACAGACTGTGATGCTAACGGTTTGGAAGGCGTCCTGGAATCTGCTTTCCAGCTCTTATATGTCCTGTCTCTCTGCTCCAGGTGGACAGCTGGGCCCTCGGTGTGTTGCTTTACACTCTGGTTTATGGAACGATGCCCTTCGATGGTTTTGATCACAAAAACCTCATCCGGCAGATCAGCAGTGGAGAGTACCGGGAGCCCACGCAGCCCTCAGGTGTGCGCCCGTGGTGGGGGGAGAGGCCGAGAGGCCACAGTGGGCTTGCCAGCACTAGCTCACTCTTTCTGCTTCTGTTTTAATGTCAGGAAGGAGTCTCCTGTTTTTTCTCTTTCTCCCCTGTAGAGTTTTGCCTTTGGCAAAGCTGGCTTGTTAGGTTGCTTTGCTCAAATCTTGCCAAATGGAATTTTCAGAAGAAATGTCCTGTGTGGCAGACAGGCTAGGGGTCCTGTCTTGCTCTGTGCACCTGGGCAAGCCCCCTTATTCTGTTTGGATTCAGTTTCTCACCTACAAATTAAAATTTTGGAAAAGGTATGGCGGTCCCTTCCCCTCCGTGTAGATACCATCACTAAACCGTGAGTGCCATGAGGGTGGCACCTGCTCTTTTCACCCCTGGCTGGGGATATGGCACATGGGCACTGTTTCATTATCTATTGCTGTATAACAACTCTTTCCATCCCTCGCTTCCCCCAGAACAAGCTCAGCAGTTTCACCCATGTAGCCATATATCTCGATTCTGACTTTGCTTGGGTTTCTCCTGTGGCTGCTCTCAGAGGGCAGCTGGGTTGGGCTGGCTGTGGGACATCTCAGCCCTCTTCTATGTGGCCATCCTTTCCGGGCCTCTCTCTCCAGGAGGGAGCCTGGTCTTGTTACAGCTCAGGGCTCTCAATGCAGGAAGAAGCAGCTGCTGGGGCCCTTAGTGTCTGCACTTGGTAGCCAGATAATGTCATTTCTGTCACATCCTATTGGTCAAGGCAAGCGAGGCCACAAGTTCCATCTCTTGGTGGGAGAGCGTCAGGCGTGGATGGAAAGTGTGTGTGCAGATGGCCATCTTTGGAATGTAGTTAACACAGGCACTTCATGTATATGCATACTACACACACACGCACACCCTGTTGGTTCTCATTATTTGCGGTAGGTATGTCCTATGAAGGTGGTGCAGACATTCGACTTCATGAACACAGAAGCGTTGCTCCTAGGAAAAAGACAGGGGCTCAATTCCTGTGAGCCTCTGATCACAATATTTCTGTCAGCTGATCAATACATAACCTTGTTTTATATATGTTTAGGTTTAAAGAGACCTCATTTAAAATACACCTCATTTAAAATACATTGTTGATTCATTAACATTGAACTCATTCACGGCTGACAGCACCATAACTCATGCCTGAATGAGGCTTATCTGACAAACAGGTTTTCTTCATAAGGCACATCCCAGCCTTCCTGCTCTTAGGAACGCTGGGTGCACTTTAGCACTAGGGTTGGGGCCATTTTACACAATGAAATCAACAAAAAGCATAAAAATGTCAAAAACGTGGACTGTATAGGCTGTGAGTAGTCTACCTGTTAGCAGTGTGAGAGCAGAAACGAGAAGGCAGAGCGTCATTGCCTTATGTGACCTCAGCTGGGACCATGCATACACGCTGGGGGAGACTCACATTTTTTGCCACTTGGTAAATGTGCACAAATGACCAAGAAAGTGCCACAAGTATTGATTTTGGGGTTAGTGAGTAGTGAGTAGGCAAATTTATAAATATAGAATCTGTGAATAATAGGGGTTGACTGTTGTATATGTATGTGTGTGTATATATATATATACACGTTTATACTTTATGTGTGTGTGTGTGTGTATATATATATATATATACGTTTATACTTTATGTGTGTGTATATATATATATATATATTTGTTTGTTTTGTTTTCCAGTAAGCCAACCTGGTGTTATTTTTTTTATTTTTGAGAAATTTTGTAGTGGTCTTATTTACTTCACCAGTTAAGTGGCATCAACACAGTTCCTGGCACATTACAGAAGTATAGAAAATATTTATTGAATGACTGCATGAATGACCATCCTGTCAGTTCTCAGGGGTGCAGCTCACCACTAGCCCCACTGCCAGGCCCTTGCCAGCTACTCATTAGCCTATACATGTGACAGAGAGGAGGTGGCACCTTCCCAGGATATATAATTAAGTTCCCACTGGGGGAGCACAGTTTGATCTAAAAAGTCATTTTATAAGTTGTGAGCGTCAGCTGGTTCCTGTGCCCTTTTCAACATCCCTTTGGGGTTTTCCCCCTGATTCTCCGGCAGCAGAAATCTGCAAATGGAATTTTTCAGACGGGCTGTAAAAGGATAGCAGATAGAGATCAGCTTTCTGATCTGACAGCTCAGCAGGCTACCACTTATGTCTGAAAGGGAAAGGAGGTGAGCTCGCTGGGTGTGAACCTGGCCATGGTCCTGCTGGGGTCAAGCCAGCCTTGGGGACCGCCCCTCTCACTGCCCAGGTGTGCCAGGTGTGAGCTCCTCTCCACCTTTTCTCTTTCCCTCTCTTATGAGGGGCCTTTTTTGTGCCATCTCAGCCCCAGATTTCCTTTTCATACTTCCCCAGTGACCCTGAGCACTGCATGTTTATACAAGCCTACCTTTGGAGGACTGAGGAAAGCCGTGGTAATCTACATCTGTTTTCCCTGTTGGTAAAATGATACCCACCAAAGGAATGGTGGGGCCCTGCATGGGTCTCGTGTCTTTCCCCCTGTATTGTAAGGGTCTGAGCTGATGGAAAGCTCAGTATTCCTGTGGCATTTCTTCACTTGTAAGGAAAACATGCCAGGATGTGATAGAGCACCGACTGGCCTGTTGTTCTGCGTCTTGATGCTGCTTTTGATGTATAGTCTGGAAGATTTTGGCTTCTGGCTGGCTCCAGAGTGTGGCTGGATCAGGACTCCAGTTGGAGTTTTCCTAAAGTGAGCATGTGTCCCTAGCCATTCCTGGGGGTGTCAGCCCTGTCAGGAAGCCAAAAGCTCCCATGTAATGGAGTCTTTTCATTGCTTGTCCCATAGATGCTCGAGGACTCATACGGTGGATGCTGATGGTGAACCCCGATCGCCGGGCCACCATCGAGGACATCGCCAACCACTGGTGGGTGAACTGGGGCTACAAAAGCAGCGTCTGTGACTGCAACGCCCTTGCCAGCTCCGAGTCCCCACTCTTGGCTCGCATCATCGACTGGCACCACCGTTCCACGGGGCTGCAGGCTGAGACTGAAGCCAAAATTAAAGGCCTGGCCAAACCAGGGGCCTCCGAGGTCATGCTGGAGCGGCAGCGGTCGCTGAAGAAGTCCAAGAAAGAGAATGACTTCGCCCAGTCTGGCCAGGACTTGGTGCCTGAAAGCCCATCCAAGCTGAGTTCCAAGAGGCCCAAGGGGATCCTGAAGAAGCGAAGCACTAGCGAGCATCGCTCTCACAGCACTGGCTTTATCGAAGGCGTAGTGGCTCCTGCCTTACCCTCTGCTTTCAAGATGGAGCAGGACTTGTGCCGAACTGGTGGGTCCCTCCCCAGCTCCCCCGAGGCAGAGGTGCCAGGTAAACTCAGCCCCAAACAGTCGGCCACCATGCCCAGGAAAGGCATCCTGAAGAAGACCCCGCAGAGAGAATCGGGCTACTATTCCTCCCCCGAGCGCAGTGAGTCTTCGGAGCTGTTGGACAGTGCTGATGGGAGCAGCATCCCGCCCCCCAGCCCCCCGGACACAGCCAGGGTGGCTTCCCACAGCCTCTCCTGCCGCAGGAAGGGCATCTTGAAGCACAGCAGCAAGTACTCAGCAGGCACCACGGACCCAGCCCTTGTCAGCCCTGAAATGCCCACACTGGAATCCTTGCTGGAGCCCGGCGTCCCCTCCGAGGGCCTCTCCCGGAGCTACAGCCGGCCTTCCAGTGTCATCAGTGATGACAGCGTCCTGTCCAGTGACTCCTTCGACTTGCTGGATTTGCAGGAGAATCGCCCCGCCCGCCAGCGCATCCGTAGCTGTGTCTCTGCCGAAAACTTTCTGCAGGTGCAGGACTTTGGGGGGCTCCAGAACCGGCCCCGGCCCCAGTACCTGAAGCGGTACCGGAACCGGCTGGGAGACAGCAGCTTCTCCCTCCTCATGGACATGGATGATGTGACTCAGGTCTACAAGAAGGCTCTAGAGATCTGCAACAAGCTCAACTAGCATCCTGGGGTGCAGGGGTGGGTTGGGGTGGGTACGAGGAAGCAGTGGGAGCAATGACTTGTGCTAATGAGCTGGTTACCTCTTTGCTGGCCATGATAATAGACTGAAAAAGGATTGGTGCCATCTCTCTTGGCCAGGTTTGCAGCCTTGAGCCAGCACCCACAAGGGAAAAGTGGGCTCTCTGCCAGCCCTGCCAACTGCCACTCAGAATCTGGGTCCTAATTGGCGTTTGCTTTCTGGCACCTCCTAGAGGACCAGCTGTCCAGGGGAGGTGGTGTTGGCCAGCACTTAGAGGGTGGGGAGGAAGCATATGGGAGAGGGAGCATTTCCCTAGAAGTTATCCAGATGCTTTTCTGAAGGAGGGGCAAGACAGACTGGGGCCACCTGTTCTGGGTGAGGTCGGAACTTGCTCCTTCTATCCTCACATCAGCAAGCTTGGTCTGACTACGTGGGGTTGACAAGTAGATTTCAGCAACCTGAGCTCGAATCTGTGATCGATTGATAGTGGCTGCTGGGTGTGCTGGTTCGAGTAGCCCAGGCATCTGGGAGGAGTACTGTGTAGTAATGGCTGCCATGAGGCCCGGAAGGGGGCAGTAGCACACAGGCCATGTAATTGCCATCCTTGACCTGGCTGGGCCCTGGGAGTGTCAGGTGAAGGTGTCCTAAGGTGTCCTGGGATCTATATTCTTCCTTTCATGCCGCTGGTGTGGCGTTTGTTAATTTGCTACTCTACTTTGAATGGAACACAGGGCCTTGGTCAGAGAGAGAATGCTCTGAGCACTGCTAAGGATTCAGAGTCAACCCATGGTGATTTTTTTGGCTTCTTGCTGTCTGCCTTGCTCTTCAGCACAGCCTTCCAAGGGTGGACAGGGAAAACAGTGGTGGTGTCAGAGGTCAAAACTATGGCGTATAACAGAGCTTGGAACTCTCTGTGGTCTGCACAGATGAGTGGAAATTGATCCTCACCAGCAAGGGGGCAAGCTTGTCGATTCCTTTAACATCTCAGTATTAACTGGAGTGCTGCCTGCTGGGTCTTCACCCGTGTGGGTGCTTTGAATTGGATGAGATGTGTCCATAGGCTTCAGAGGAGTAGCTGGCTCAACATCTACCTGTTTACTAATAGCAAATGTTTTCCCATCCACCAAGTGTGGAATCCTCAGACGTAGGTGAGTCTGCTTCTAGGAAGTTAGCGTGCAGGTGGGATATTTGGGTGAAGAAAGGAGAGCCAGGCAGAAGGTGCGTTCCCCCCACACCTAGGTATTCTGTGTCATGGGTTTGAACTCCTAGGCTTTGGGGAGAAAGAAAGTCCTAGACATTCAAATGAAGAAGGTGTTGAAAGCAGAGTGGGTGGGGAGGAAGCACACAGGAAAGAACATTTCCCTGGAAGTCACCCAGATGGTTCTGAAAGAGGCAGAAAAGATATGTGACAGGACATTTGTCTTAAAATGTAACTTAACTAGTTATTTAACTTCTAGACACCAGATTACAAGTGACAAGATGTCACTCCCACAGTGGGCACCTTTGGATGTGAGGTTTGAAATTAATGGTCTTATTTGGGAATGTGGGATGACTTGAAATTGTACTGGCCTGGGCAAATCAAAACCCTTGTTTCAAGATGGCCAATTTCTGATAGTTATCTAGAAATATAAGGAGGTCAAATCTTGGGGGGTATTTTTGGGAAAACCAACAGTTCATAAGGAGATGAGAAAGAATTTGCCTTAAAGCACTAACAGTGTGAATTAGAATGAAACTGCCCTTTCCCTAAGGAGATGGCTCCATTTCTCCCCTCGCCACCAGCTCTGGGTGGGGGCTTGTGCATTCCTTCAGGTTGAGCTGAGTAGTGTATTATGGGAAACATCTCAGTTTCCTTTCATTCAGTTCCACCTCCTTCCTGAACTCCAGTATAGGTTCAAAGGGAAAAAAAAATCTGTAGATAGCAAATTATGTGTGGGGGTTTGTGTGGGTGCGTGGAGGGCATTCTGCAACCTCTGAGCTCCTTACTCCCTGTCTCACTTTATGCAACCTCTTCTGAACAGCCTGTACTACCATGCTGCTGGTCCCTCATGCATGGCAGCTGGCCTCGTTGGTAGTTGTCAGTATGACTTCAGTGTAACACCTACCTACTGGTTGATGCATTTTTTTCCTTTTGCCAAGTGATTGCATCTGTTTAGTATTTTCCATCCTTCTTATCTTTAAGTAAAAGTGAAACTATTAAGGAAAATCATTTTACTTTCCCCATCTCACCACCCCGAAAAACACAGGTGTGTTCTCTTTTGTCAATAAACCAGGACAGTGGATTATGGCAAAGACAGTCCTCCACTCAGAGGCAGGGATTCTGAGTTGAGTCCTGGTGTGCTGCTAACCAGCTGGTGGCCATAGGCACCTACAGTGTTTTGGGGGCTAAGTCTTCCCTTCAGTGAGGGCGGGAGGGGTAGATTTGCTGGCCCTGCAACCTGTCTAGGTCTGACATTCTGCTAACACCCTCAGATTCTGGATGCAATATCGATGCTGTCCTTTCGAGGAAAAGCTTGGAATAGTAGGAAAATCCCTGCAAAGTCCTACTGTCCCTACCAGCCAATCCCCAACCAAGGAAGTCATGCTTGATTAATTTCCATGGAATTAAAGTGAGAGACACTTTTATGATCCAGTGGACCAAGCAGGAGATTCGATGTCAGCTGTTCTGGTCCTTCCCGTGCCTCTGTAGGCCTTTCAGTGTCTTAGTTTACATGTCTGCCAAAGGAGTAGAATTCTACTTCTCTTTACAGGTAAATTTCAAGGCATGATCAGTTTTCAGGAAGTGCTTCAAGACCCCAGGTGAAATTACAATGCCAAGTGCTCTCTGAATTTCCATCCCCGTTGTAAGGTGCTGCTGCTTCAGATGATGGGGGGCACTTTGCAGGGTGAAATCCAGGTGAGGGTTACCCAGGCGTGTTGTCTTGAGTACAAATGTGAATGATCGACTGACTGCTTATTGCCAAACTGGAAATGTTCTGTAGGGATTTACTGGCATGGTATATCATTCCTAGAAGAAAAAAATAAGAGAGAAACTTGACTGCACATTTTTTTTTTAAATCCGTGTTGTGACTTTTATTTAATTTCTTTTTTTTTTTTGGTAATAAAAAGTTGACTTTTTTATTTGAATTTGTCTTTTTTTATTTATTGGTCTGAAAGGCATTTCAAAGGTATTATAATAATATATTGGTGTAATTTAATTGGTGCAACATGCTTTATGGCTCCAGTCAAAGTTGGTTTTCACTCATTTGGTTGGTTGGAGCCCAGAACAGCCTACAGGGAAAGAAAAGCTGGATAACCACCCAAAAGTTGTTTGTATTTTTATTGGAAACTGATTTTTGTTTTTTTTTGTTTTCGTTTTTTTTTTTTTGTTTCTGTTTTTATTTTTAAATTAAATAAATTGCAATGAGCTGAACTGAATTGGGACCTTGCTTCTTTCTTCGGTTATTTTTCTCTGAGTTAAATAAGTGACACAAGAACTGTGAGGAACAAAAACCCACCCAAGTCAGCGTAAGCATGAAAGGGGGATTTATTGTTCGTTCTCAGAGGAGGAAATGCAGCCGGAACTCAGCTCATGTCTATTTTTCTGCCTAACAAAACCAGGAACTGGAGAGGTAGGAGCTGAGAGGGCCACAGGCCCCTTCTATGCTCCCCTTTGCCTAATAGCTTTCTTCTCCTTCTATAGCCTGCAGTTCCCTGCCCTCATTTTATGACCCACCTTGGCTTATCCCGGAGTTTCCAAATGTACCTATTCTGGCTTCCAAAAGAGACAGCTGACCCTCTTCCTTCAGTCTGGACTAGAGACCCCCCAAAGTTTACTGCTCATTCTCTCTTCCCAGGCTTCAGCTTCCTCTGCCTTCCTCTTCCTCCGCTCTGCCCTGTGCGCCAAAGGCAGGTAATTGCTCAGAGTCCGAGATCAGCGGGCCATGCTTCTAATGGGGGTGGGGGGACCACTGCTCTGTCTGTAAAATGGCATCCAGGTTTGCATTTTGCCATTGTCCCTTGTGCAAACAGACCCTGCAGGAAGCTCTTGGAAACAGGGATCGATAATAGGGTGAGATGTTCCTGGTTCTTAAAATAGCAAATGACAGCCAACCTTACCCTGGTATTAAACACTGGAGTCATGCTCTGCACCAAATAGTATGAGGGGATCCATGAAAGAGAAGCCTAATTTTCCAAAGAAACTCAAACTTTCTCCCCTTATCTACTGGGAGAACATTGGATGTAACATCACATGTAGCAAATGAAACTATAGGATGCCAGTTAAACAATGTATATATTTTTAGTATAAGTACGTCCCATGCAATATTTGGGTCGTGTTTACACTGAAAAAAAAAAGTTATCTGAAATTCAAATTGAACTGGGCATCGTATATTTTAACTGGTAACCTAATCTGATGGGGCTTAACTGGCTAAATTGACCAGTACTGGGCACGATAGAGGCTTGGGGAATAGATGCTTATAATTGTGGCCTGCCAAGTTTGGACATGTCCATGCCTCTCAAGCGGGGCTGAGGTGGGAAGAATTCCACTTCCAGTCTGAGTCTGATGACTGCTGTTGAGTCAAATTGCTTTGCTCGTTGCGCTTCAGTTTTCTCATCTGTTGAATGGGTATATTAATTGCTATCGAAACCCAACTCTAAGAGGTCTGTGAAGAAGGAATGAGAGAATTTCCATGAACTCACCCTGAGTGTAAAACTCATTATGAATGGGAAACCACAGTGCTTTCTTTACAGATCAATATTTACTTCCTTTGAAGATAGGGTATTTATAAGGCCGCCTGCTTGGCTCTTAATTCTTGCTTTGGTCCCTGCTGTTATTAGTAAATGGACCTGTCAGTCATTTGCGGGGTAAGGGACTAAGGTAAAGTTTCCTTGAAAGTGAACTCCTTTGGAAAGACATAATGCTGCCACCAGAGAGAGGGAATAGCTTGTGTATTGTCTAGAGGCTAGACCAAATGTGACATCTCAGGGGCAGTGAGGAGGACACTGGGGTGGCTGGAGTGGCATAGTTTACATATTGTCAACTGGTAGGTTGGTGAGGTTAATGGGGAGTAGTCATTTTAAGGAGGAAAATTGAAATAATATTTATTAAGCTTCTACATGGTGCTATTTCATCCTTATTTAGTGGCAGATCCTAACTCAGACTACATTAAGGAACAAGATGCATTTATTGCATGTCTTGGGCACAGCTGGATCCTGGGATTCAAGTGATGCCATTGACCTCTTTTTCACTCACTCACTGAACATGAGTTCCATTCTTAGGTAGGCTCTCTCTGCATGGCAGCATGATAGCTCCTGGTAGTAGCAGGGTTATGAGGTCTTTTTAGTGCATGATCCTGAACTCAAGAGAGTCTTACTATTCTGGCATTTATGTGCCAAGGAAGGACTGATTGGCTTTGCTGGGGTCATGTTTCTCCTTGTGGCCCAGTCAGAGTCCAGGCACAGATGCTCTGATTGGCCAGCCTGGATCCTATGCCCACTATTGTATACTTGAATGACAGCTCATTCAGAGTCAGAGTCGGGAGGACAGCTTCTCCAGAAGAAGGGATGCAGAGCCGACAAAACAAGAAGTTACACCTTTTGGGCCTCAACTTTCTCATATATAAAATAGCATTAAATAATATCTGACTTTCAGAATTATTGTGAAAATTAAATACAGTAAAGTACCTAATACAGGGCCTGTCAAATAGAAGATTCTTAATTTATTCAGGTAGTATCAGGGGGCACAATAATATTCAATAATCCTATAGAGAAGAGATATATTTGCTAGGAAGATTTTAGCTGTAAAATCAGCTATAATATGAGAAAATCCAGCTGAAACTAGTTTAAACATTACAGGAGCTTTATTAGCTCGTTATCTGGAATTCTAGAGATAAGGTAGATTTCATGGTTACTTAGGTCTAGTGGGAGAAATGGATAACAAATCAATAAGCAAACATGCCCTCCCCCCACCTCCAAATTACAGATTGTGGTAAGTGCTTTGGGTAGGGTGCAGAGATGGAGAATTAAGGGAGAGAGATACTTTTATAGAAAGAATAATCAGGGAAGGCATCTTTGAAGAAGTGACCTTCCAGCAGAGGTTTGAAGATGGAGAACTAGCTATATGAAGAATGAGCATTCTAGGCAGAAGGAACAATATGTGCAAAGGCCTTGGGATCTTTAAAAGAGAGCTTCACAGGGTTAATTTCAGGTCCATTGGCATAAGAAAATCATGGTCCAGGGATTGTGGTGTTTTGTTAAACATATGCAGCCAAGTTCTAACGTGGACTGGCTGTGATCATTTATGACTTTGTGTACCCTTAATTACAAATGGCTGCTTCCTTCGGCAGGTGGTCCCCAGATGAGATGCATACAATGATGTGCAGTTTTAAATGAGAATATGTTTCCATGCAGAAATTCACTGCCAATTTATTGAAATTTATGGAGAGGATGCTTAAACCACAGAATCATGCAAAGTCTGGTGCATGGAAGTGGAGCAGCAGTGACACTCAATGAAGACCTGAAAGTGCAGAGTAAGGTTTTCATGTAACAAAACCCACCACAGGCTATCACAACTGTCCTGTTCCAGTAGGGAATTGTGTGGAAAACTAGGTATCAATTTTTCAAAAAATTGTGACAACTATTTTCCTAATAATGAAAACTTTGCACTGTCCAGCTCTACCTGACTGGGAATATTCACTGTCTTGACCTGTTGATTTCCCCACCCACTCCCTGTGCTAGTTTTCATTTGTGAATTAGTTTGGATGGGCTATGTTATGCTAACATAACAAATAAGCCCATAAATGTCAGTGGCTCAATATGATAAAAGATTGCTTCTTACTCTCACCAAATCCAATACAGGTTGGGCAGTTTTCTTTGTCAGTTTATCTCCATGCAGTCACTAGAGGACCTGAGCATCTTCCATTCTGTGGTTCTACCATCTTGGGGTCCTTCATTTCTAGCTGTGCAAATGAGAGAGAGAGAGAGAACACAAGTCAGGATCTTTTATGGATTGATCATACTTGAATATAGTATATCATTTTTGCCCACAACCCATTAGCTAGAACTCAGTCACCTGACCCCAACCTAACTTCCTGGATGGTCTTGAAGTCTGTCGTACTTCCAAAGTGGAAAATAAAATAGAATTAGTGGACACATACCAATCTTTGTCACAGTTTATATCTACATGGTGGGGAACCAATACAAAGAAAAATCATCCTTGTAAATATTGGCTGAGTGCTTAGTGAGTGGCAGGCAGTTTGCCTACCCTTTATACACATCATCTTCTATACTGCTCCTCAGGGTCCCTTATCGCCATCTTTACAGATGAGGTAACTGAGTGCTGGAAACGTGCGGTGTCTTGCCCCAGTCACCCAACTATTAAATGTGTAAATTCAAATCCAGGCCTGGCTGACCAACTTCTAAGTCCAAGTTTTTAATTACTGTTTTGTGTCCCTGGGGTGATCCTTCTTCAAGTCAGGCAACCTGATCATAAGCCCCATCCTGTCACCATCTATGTTCATTTAACTGGCATTTTCCTGCAGGAGTGAAATAGATACCCTCAGGAATGCAGACACGTGCCCAAGTCAGTGTATGCTCCAAAAAAATGGGGAGAGGAGAGCAACTGTCCCCTCAACTGATACCTCCATTGGTGTCAGGTTCTAGAAGATCCAGTCTCAGCACATGGAATTAATAATTGATTCAGGTTTTGTTTTTTTTAACTCCTCTAGAGGGGAATCGGATGGAGGAGTGGGTCTTTCTCCCATCTGAGTACCTGCTGTGGCTCAGAACTCAGTAGAGGAGACCGTACACCTCCAGCGGCTAGGTTTCTGTCCAAAGCTGTCCACCCCCAAACAGGGCTCCAAATACTCTTTCCTGTGCTGGTGTGCTTCAGGAGACCCTGATTCTAGAGGGCTGAGGGTTCAAAGTAACTGCTTGGAGCCATTTGGAAATAGGATGTCAAGCTGGTTGCATGGGCCTGTGTGGGGTAGGCATTGCAGCACCAACTTCCATCACACAAAAGGCAGAGCATTGCCATGTCTTCAAAGTCCAGAGCAGGGTGATGATAAAGGCACCATCCCAAATCAGATTTCTAGAGGAACACTTCACTGTCAGGTGAAACTGAGGGTGAGGAGCAATTCATTTGGGAG